GACAGCGCAGGAGGGGAAGGCCCTCTAGGAGGTGAATTGATTCAGTGACTGGGGTAATCCGGATGAGTGTGTCAGAGGCAGTGCGATTGGCACAGGACAGATTAGAGTTTAGGGCTGTTGTACATGGGGTCGCTATGAGTTTCAAGCAACTCGATGGCACATAACAACAACAACATATAATTTTAGATAAGATTGTTTCTACTTCTACTACTATACAACTTTCTATACACATACACACAATCACTCTTACGTATATTTTTATGGTTATGCCTATATAGACATTTGAGTGATACAATTTTATTCAAAACCAAAATAAAGCTGAAGAACATATCCCACCAGGATTCAGAAGCTCGGGCGGCATAATCTTTCTAGCCTCTACAAATCATTTAATAGAGAGCAATTTTGCTCTGTAAATTTTCACTCAAATCATAATTCAAAAAAGTAAAAATAAAGAAATAAAAATAATTACAATTCTCTGCTGCTAACCCAAATTTGGTAGTAGATACTTGGAAGTACGAGTAGCATCCACTTCCTAAATAACATGCCTCCAGAAACTCTATGAACTTTGATTAATGTTCATAGGGTTACTATGAGTCATGCTCAACTTGAAGGCAATCAGCAAAAACAACAACCCACCAGCAACTTTGCAGGGGAAAAGATGAAAAAACCCTGAAAGATACTTTAATAAAGATTCCAGCCCAGGGACCCAAATGAGGCATTTTTACTTTGTCTCATATGGTTTCTATAAATCAGAATTCACTAGATGGCATAATATTATATCAGTATGTGTTATAATTTTAAGTGATTAAATTTGTATAGATTGTAGTGTTTTGAATTATGTGTCCTAAATGGATATCTATTCAATTAGGTTGCATATTAGAAACTGAGAATGTTATTAATAACATGCAAGCATAATTAATTCTTAAGATCTTGTATGCTAATTTTGCTTTTTACTAGTCAAATCTTGTAACTCATTTTTGTGAGATATAACAGTATTCCATGACTGTTACCTGTTATTTTCTAATATTTAGACAACTTATTGTCAAGGTTTAAAGTGATAATTGCTCTATTATTTACCCTATGTTTAATAAAGACTGATATGCAACATATTGTCAAAACTTTAATATCTTCTGTCTCTTATCTGTGAACCTATACTCATTGCCAGCACTTTCCTTAGAGCCCCCAGCACTTCCTTGTTTCTCAGACTGTAGACCATGGGGTTTAGCATAGGGGTGAGAATGTTGTAGAACAAGGAGACAATCTGACTTTCCTCTCCTGAGTACACAGCTGGAGCCACTATGAGGACAAAGAAGCCTGAACCTAAATAAAGACTCACTACTGTGAGATGAGAAGAGCAGGTTGCTAGGGCTTTGCTCTTCCCCTTCTCAGATTTCATATGGAAGACAGTCATGAAAATGAGGCTGTAGGAGGCCAGAATGAGCCCAAAGGGAATAAGGATGAACACTATACCTGTGACAAACAAAATCATCTCATACGCAGATGTGTCTTCACAGGAGAGTTTTAGAATAGCTAAGAACTCACAAAAGAAGTGACTAATCTCCCTGGAGTCACACCGCGGTAAATGCATAATGTACACCGTATGGGCCAGGGAGTCCAGAAATCCTACAACCCAGGAGAAAGCAGCCATCTGCACACAGACTCTGGAGTTCATGATGACTGAGTACCTCAGTGGGTTGCAGACAGCGACATAGCGATCATAGGACATGAGAGTCAAAAGGATACATTCAGCACCTGCTATGGTTATATAAAGTAACATCTGTATTCCACAGCCAACCTGCGAGATATTTTTATTTTCCACCCAGAAGTCACTGACCATCTTTGGAGCAGTTGTGGAGATGAGGATTAAGTCCATGACAGAAAGTTGGCTAAGGAGCAAATACATGGGGGTATGGAGTCGAGAATCCACCCAAATTAATAAAATCAATATGGTGTTTCCAAAAAGAGCAATAATATAGCTCAGGAAGATGATATGGATAAGGACACTGATGTTTTCCAATTCAGGAAATAGTCCAAGGAGTACCATATCTCTCACTGATGTATCATTTCCTCCCATCATGTTGATGTTCCTTTTGGGGTCATTTGTGGAAACCAAATCAGACTATAAGGGATGATATTTATTGTTGCATATTTGCTCTTAGGTCAGTTGGCAAGTGTCCATTGAATTTATCTGACTTACATCTGGCTATGCATATTGTTAGATAAAGAAAAAAGCATGAGGGTGTGAGGGAGAGAAATAAAGAAATTGGTCCCAAGAAACAAACAGGCCTTTATTCTGCTGGGAGGGACACCAAGTGACCCGGCCGCAGAGCACAAGGACAAGATCGAAATGGCACCTGAGCAGTTTAGGGGGGGTTTCTTTTTTATAGGGGTCCTAGGGAGGACTAAGATGGTACTTCTTGGAATTTGGCATGTTATTTAAGTTAGGTTTTAGCTTTTTCAATCAAGGTCAGACTCTTACCCTGATCCATTGTCTGTTCTGCTCTTTGATATGACCAGCTTGGGTGTTATCAAGTTTCTTAGGAAGTAACAAAGCTTGGAGGGAGGGTAGTCATGGGCAACTGCATATTCTTCCTTTATACATTAGCCTAGAAAAGATAAGTAGAATGGTACATTGCAGAAGTCGAGGATATGAATCACATAGTAACTAGTTTTAAGTCACTGTGTGTAAACACTGAATAGCTACATGAGAAAATTATTTTTCCAACTTCAATTTTATTATCTTTGAAATTATAGTAATAATGATGCTCACATCAATGGCCATCAACAAAGCTGAATTATTAGTTTATTTTAAATAAGTTTTCCAATTATTTCAATAAGTGTCCTAGATTTCTTTCATTTATATATATAT